CCAGTGCCATTCTTAGTAGTGTGTAGTAATAAATCTATCTTGCAACTTAAGTTATGCATCCTGTCTGACTCTTTGTGGAGTACATAGGTATCTTTCTTCCAATTATGTTTATCTCAAAGCCATAAATTTTCGTGTTAATTGGGTTTTCGCTCTCCCTTCTCCCTCTCCGGTGGGGGGGAAAGGAGGGAACGTCATGGGCACAGTTCAAACCATGACAAGCCTTTATCTAGATAATCCAGATTAAAAGAGAAGAAATTGTCATGATCTTCTAATCTGTGCATAAAAGTTCAGAAACTGCTTTTATTACACGCAAAAATGATTCTCAAAATGGCCTTCCAAYGCCGACATCTTCTTAATAATTTCTCTATCCACAATGCTTTCTAGATTTCACCCACCATCGACACATTTTCTTGCCATATCACTTTTCTTGTATCTCTACACTGTGACACTTCTCACTGAGATTTTGCTTTCTCTTTTTGCATTCCTTGCATGCTTTCCCAACCTCACCCCAGTCTTCTCTTCTARTAGAGGGAACACCTCTCCACCACTGTATCCTAAATTAAATCACCAGTGATAATGACCATCACTTAAACACCACTTCAAGGCACCCCAGAGCAGAAACTCACCACAGTCCCATTCATCTGAGCTGTCACTGCAGTCTGCCTGCCCATCACACCAGAGCTCACGAGGCACACATTCATGGTTGGCACATTCAAGTTCGCTCTCTTTACAAAATGCTGCAAAGACAAAAACATGCTTCCTCCTGAGAAGGATATGATCAATGTGAAATTCACATTGAGATTTTAAAAATTAAAAGGAGGGTGAAGGCAGGCACAGATCAGATTTATGGAACAAGGAAGTGAGACAGATTTGCAACAAAATTCAGCATGTATATCACTGAGGCAGAAGGTGGGTGCTGCTATGCAGTGACAGAGGGCATCACAACTCAAAGGCAAGGAAGAGTGTCTGGAATTGCATGATCTGTGATTACTTAGTATCATTTATGSTCTTGTCACATGAAACCTATCTAAACCCATCAGAAGTAGTAAGTGAAAATACAGTACCGTGCTCTTTAGCCAACTGATCCAAATTCGCTTAATTCTTCATGGTTTCAAAAAAAAATTATTTTTACTACAATGAATATATATTTCCTCTAATCCACAGCAATTATATATTAATTTTCAGATTCACCTTTGTTTTTGAATATTATAGAATTATTTTTATCGCCACTTTAGAGGCAGAGAACTGCTCTAAAGTGAACTGATATACATGCTCCAGTTCACAGTTGGTTGCCAGTTGGCATCTTTACGTACAGATTTCCAGAATCCTTTCAGTATGGGAACTACAAAAGCTTCTGTTTGCAAATGACTTTTAGCAYTCCCCCAGTAACCTCCCTTCCAAAAGGCAGGTGTATAGTAGTACAGTGCCTTTCCCACTAACACACTTCCAGCTTCTATAAACTCCCTCGTTAGGGAATTCTGAGACCTGGGGGAGAACAGAGGGGGAGCAGATGCGTGGAAGGGAGCTGCATTCAATTGTGCCTGTGTTTGGCTGGTGTACAGCATTTATCCTGCCATGCAGTCCAAGCATTTATTTGCAATACTTGTACAGAAAGTGTACTCTACAGTGGATACAAGGATACAGGCTGGGAAAAGAGAGAAATTGGTGCAACAGAAAAACTGAAAAGGAAACTGAGAGAATATCTGTCTTTCTGCCTATAGAAAACATAAAACACTTTTACTTTCATTTATTTTGCACCCCRACATCCCAAAAATGAGATCAGCCTTTTAAGGGAGTAAGTCCTTACAGCAATTCTTTTCATCCATCATGTCAGGGCAGTCTGGGAAACCATCACAAATCATAGTGTGTTTGATGCACAGCTTCTTCAAAGGACACTCCCAAAGACCCCTTTCTGTACAGCCTGGAGACACAGAAGCACAGTTCTAAAATACTTGCATGCAATACCAAATCAACTGGGTCTTTCCTTAAAACTACTGAAACACAGAAAATAATTTCACTTACAATATCCCAAAATTAGTTACTAATGAAGAAATGGAAATAAGGCTGGCACATGCACACTTAATAAATGGATGTAAATATTACAGCACTTCATAATATTTCAGTGCTTTTTAAATAATAATTGTATTATGCCGCACATATTTATAATAATGCTTTAGCCATTAGCGCAATTAGATCAAAACCCATGCACCACTATTCTTGAAATATATTTACTAGTAATATAAAAAAATTTCTAGTCCTGAAGTCTGTAACATTCCTTGGTCTTTTAAAAGCAAATCCTACAAAAGCAAGAAATCTCCATGTATGTAGAAATACATACTTTTTTTCTGGCAGTGCGGATACAGAATCTAATGTAGTATCACAATGAAAGGTAGAAAGAGAAGAAATACTTATAAAACAATATCAAAGTGCTTTGACAGTAAAATTCCTGYTGGTCAGCTAGAGGAAATGTAGCCCAAGCTACATTTTAGAAAGAGTTTTCTCTTGTTTTATTCCCCTTTTTATTTCCATCAACTAATAAAGTATTTTATTGGGATATCAGTTTAAATACTTTGACATACTAATATCTCACATGTCTGAACTCTGGTTTCATAGGAAGCCATAAAAATGGTGTGTTGTCCTGACTAAACCAGATTATTTGATTGCCTTGTTTGGCCTTTTCTATAAATTATACTTCTCATTTTAATCTACGTGCAAATTGAAGGGACAGACCTGATGTTCATATATGCACATAGTTCAGGTATAAATTTACAAACAGAACCACTCCTTGTCTGAACCCAGAACTACGAAAGCATATCAGCAGTAAGTAGTGAGCAAATATATTGTTTCCAAGAAGTTTTAATTCAGAAGTACAATATTTTACAAATTTGAACCAGAGAATCTCCACTGGATTACTGGAAAAGTCTATTCAGGTTTTAATTGTACTTGGATGTGTGGGTTGCTTGATTTTGTTTAGATTTGAAACAACAAGAAATAAATGTTAAAGTACAGAAAAATAAATAGCTGTAACCCTTGAAACTAATTCCTCATGATCAAAGAACTCTCTTGTGTATCACCAATTTCCAGATCTCCTTCTTGACAATATTTCTGATAACTGTTAATGAAAAATTAATTGTAACCAAACAAAATCTCTACTCTTACATACACCAGGGAATATCATGTTAGGAGTTTGATATCAATATAAAACAAAAAAAAGCTTAAACCCCCCAGAATTTATGAACCTTGCAATTTTTCAGCAGAGTGTTTGCAATCCATTAAATACATGTTTGTCTTTCCTCTTCATCACACATTASAGAGTTACACTGTGAAGTGTACCACAACTCTCCAAAATGAATCACATAGACAAATATAGAGACAGTTCCCTATTGAAAATAGGGAAAAATTCACTACTTACTGAATTCAGTGTTCAAATAAACTGTCTTGTTGGTAGACCATCTACCATTTGGAGTATTTATATTTCATCTCTAATTATTTTTGTGAAGTGCATTTTAAATTCAATTAAAGGGAACTGAAAACAGAGATAGGAAAACTTGCCTAAATGCAAATTACTTACATCTCAAAAATACATTTGGACAAGAGATATCGTTTCACATATGATCTTATGTTCATTCTTTTTCATAATAGAAAGGAAGTCACCATTTGTTATTCATATATACATTTCCCATGCAATTATCATTAAATCATTAAAATTAAGATCACCACATTTTTCTCTCACCTACAGTACAACAGGTTGGAACTTAGAATTCTGAAAATAGTGAAAGACTGTATTGGTTTTGAATGTTACATCCTCAATTTCTTAGTAGGTCTAGGACCCTCTTCTGTTCCCTCCAGAGGCACCGTTCAGCAGCCAGCAAGTTAATACAATCAATGACAACCAACTGCATTTAATATCACAGACTGATGACATAATTCATAATAATATTTTTTGGAAATTATCTACCCTCCTGCGCTCAGGAGTCTCAATTCCAGTCATCTCAGTCAAAGTTTTTGCCTAAACCATAAGTTTGAGTGGCTCTAAAGTCTTACGATTTTGGTGCAATTTTGTGGGTGAGATTTCCTCTCACAATGTGAAAGTATGACAGGGATCCTGACAGAAGGAGACAATCAGTGTTGAATACAGCTTTACTCTGCATGGGTGGAGTATATCCAGTCCCTTTGGACTGTTTCAACTTAGATTTTTTGGCCAGAGTAGTTTAATCCTAAGAAAGCTGTAGCTAGTCTTTTTCAGCTTCCTCCTCCCCGCACTGTGAAGTTGTTGCATGTATACCATTTAAAGCACTTCAAATACAAGGGTCTCAAATTAAACACTTAATGTTATAAACATTTAATGTTACAAAACCAATTTAAAAGGATAAAACAAATAAAATTTGACCTAGCCATTTACACATGGAAAGATCATCAAGTTTTGATTTTTTCCTGCTCACATGGAATATGAATAAGCCAGAGACAGTTACTTCTGGAGCACTACAAGGACTTTTTGTTCTTCAGTAAAAGTAATAGCCCTGGTCAATGTAATGTCACTCTGACAGAGGTAATTTCCTAGCTGACACAGTCTTCCATATTTATAGAAACTGATAAGAATTCGGCTGATTGCTTGTGACATTCTGTCTAGACTTTAGAGAGAGATCTACTTGAGAAATGAATGTTACACATTAGAACAGTATTGCATATGTTAATGTCTAGGAAAATAAAATTATCCTATAAGACACATAGCAATTTGTTTTCTAAGGAATTCAAAATTCGTGGCAACAAATAATATTTGGCAGCAGGGACAACTGAGACACTTGATTCAAGAGTAAAGAGATGCAAGACTCTGAAAGAGTCACTGATCATCAGCTCTGACTTTCCTTTATAATCCAAACAAGAGAGTGACATACTATTAAATCATATTTAAGAGAGCATATCTTTTTTTCCTTTCTTTCTTTTTTACAAGGGTAGGGGAAGGGAAAGAAGGAGAATACAAGCATGATCTGGAAGCTCCCACAGACTGAAAATACATCACACATTAGTGATAAATAACTCGTTGGTTACTGCAATCATTAAAACAATCTGCTTTTTAAAACAAGCATTTTATAGGGCTGCCAAGCTTGAATTTTAGCCTGGCTTTAACTTTCTGGTGTTGGATTTTATTTTATTGGATTTATTTTAGTGTTTCTGAAGAGCAATTCTCTTGTTGCCACAACTTTATTGCYCACATAAACTCTGCTTCCCTCTTAACCTGTTCTCAGTTAAAAAAAAAGAAACAGGTTGTGCACCATAGCTCTACTCTGCTGGAATATTTTCCAATCCTTTGCCCATATGCACACCTCTTCTCTAAATCATTAGAGATGTATAATTATTCTCATTGGCCCTAGGGATTCCAGGCCTGCATGCAGACCTCCCTGAAGACTACACCTTAGTCAATTAAGAAATTTTTAGAACTCCCTTCTCCCTCTGAAAACTCTCCTGCYAGCATGTACAAGGATACATAGTGACCAAGAGACTTCTTGATAATTCTCAAGCTCATCATAGCCCCTTAAGTTAAAAGTCAAAAGAATCTATACTAAAAGTAAACTCAGAAACATATTGGAGAATAAACTTTGTGAGTGTATGCTTGTACTTGYAACTTGAGGTTGACCAACCTGAAAAAACATGAAGAATCCACTTCAGCAACACAATACATCATAATGACATCTTTTGTCTATACATCATAAAGAGAAWGTTATCATGTATAAATTTAAAACTACGTTTACAGATTCAAGATTTCATCTGCCAGGGAGTTACGTTTTAGCTTAGTAAAACCTTCATCAATGTCAAAAAYACTAATCTGCAGAATTTTTTTAGCTTGATTACCTAATGAATATTCAAACATCCCAGATCTACATCTAAATGATCAGTTATCGTAAATTGTATTCATGTTGATTAAGAAGGATTCTTGCTATTTTATTTTTACTGATACTGTCTTAAAAAAACCCCCAACATTTTCCCACACATTTTTACAAAAAATACAAAAAAGGAGGCTTATCCTCTGAGCTGTCGCGCTACAATTCAAATAACCTAATGAAAGACAAAGTTTATTTTCCAATGCTGCAGCTACCCTCCACTCCAACTCATTGAATTTATTTACCACAGCTGTCCTCGTCACTATCATCATCACAGTCAGCTTGACCATCACATCTTCTGGATGCCAGGACACACCTCCCAGAACGGCACTTGAAGTGACTGGGTGAGCACTCTGTCAATGACAAGGAGCAGGGAGAAACAGGACTCTGTAAGGTGCAAGCTTAATCATGACATGGGCACTTATTTATCACCAGGGCTGTTTCAGAAGGGTAAATAACATGGATAGAAAACTCATGTGACTGGAACTGTGTGTCAGGCAAGACTCTTTTTAATTGCACTGGGAATGTGTGGAGCAATATTTTCCAGAGCTCTCCCTCACATGTTGCCCTCTGTCAAATTTCACTGCTTTGCCAGGTCACTGGCATACAATGTTTAGACCTTCTGTATGAACTTCCTAGCTGTTCTCCTCACCATTGTGTATAAGAAATCCCCAGGATAAAAAAAAAGATTGACAATTATGTGTCTTATGTGAACTAATAAAACTGGGTTGAAATGTGCACTGATTAACCCTTTCTTTGTTTTTGCCTCATCTTAAAGTACCATTTAGGGACAAAGGAGTGGTACAGAGCGAGCAGATCTTTAGGGAACTCTTCCATTGAGTGCAACAGCTAGCAATCCCCAGGAGCAAGAAATCCAGCAAAGAAGCCAAGAGACCAGCATGGCTGAGGAGGGAAACAGCCTGGAAAAATTTCCACAGTATAAAAAAACCCAGCTTTTCTTTGCTGTTATATGTATGAGAGATACCTTCTACACCTTCATCTGGTGTTAGACAAGTTTGGTTGTCTGAGTTCTCATCTGGAAACTGAGTGCAGTCTGTGTCCTCTGGCCATTGCAGACCTACAATCCCAAGCACAGCCTCACAGCGTTCCTTAGACTGCACACATAACGTCCTGAGGAGACAAAGTACCTGAGTGAATGTCCTAGAAATTCCCAGATACTAGAAGTTAGTAATCCTAGACAAAGCTAAAGATGAAGATCACAAAAAAAAAAAAAAAAAAAAAAAAAAAAAAAAATCAGTTAAACAGATGTTTTAATATGAAAAAAATACATATATCAAAGAACACTACTGTTGAAACATTATTTTAAGCTACTGTTATGCAGTTACTTTATACATAGTTGTGTTATAAATAGGTTAATTACAACCAAATATAACTGCTTACAAACATGGAAGAGACACTCCTTTCATGAAAGGCATTTCATTCCCCTCKTTTTTCTTTGACTTTTTGACTAATGGAACTTTTTTATTTTCCTACAATTAGCTTTGGAAAATGTTGTGACCAAAACTAACAAAACAAAGCCATACAGGATTAATTATTTTATGCTCTTTTGAGAAAATAATACATTACTCCCAAAATTAATTTTGTTTTGAGGAATTATGTAAATAAAATTCATTATTTTTCCATGCCAAACAATTCACCACTGAGCTGAGCAAACAGAAGGAATGGATTGACATCAGTTCACCATGTTACAGTTACAGACTCTCTCTTTCCTTTCATATCCTCCTCAATATCAAAAACATTGACTGGCACCATTTTATAACCTCAGATCTCTGAATGCAAGAATTATAATTTTCCAATGACAAAAAAACAAAACCCACAACAAAAACATGATRATATAGCAGAGTCATCTAACACGGTGTTCTGTGTTCTCTCACACTCAGATCTTTGGTCAAAGCTGACCTTTCCCAAGGTATTACAAGCCATTTAGTTGCCTTTTTGTGGTGAAAGAATTAGAATATGTTTGATCTTCAAAGTAGGCCTGGACTAATATTATCAAAGCCTTATCAGAGATGAAGAATAATGTTCAGAAATTGAAAACATGCTTGATAGATCATGAATGTCATAAATAACAATAAGTTCAATTCTTTCARAAAAATTTATTTACTTTTATTTATTCTTTACCTTGAATAAAACTTTATGAAAACTGTTACAGTTAAAAAATAAAGCATAACAGCTGAACTAACATTAATGGAGTGATGGAGAGATGGTGTTGACTCTCAAGAGACAAGAGGACTTTGCATTGGGCAATCATCAAGGGCATGAAATTTAACAAGAACAAATGCCTGAGCCTGCACCTAGGACAGAGTAGCATCAGGCACAAATTGGAGAGAAGCCCTGCAGAGAGGGACCTGGGCATGCTGSTCAGCAGTAGCCTTTTGCTTTGGAATTCCAAAACAAAATTTCTGGCATTTTCAACAAAAGCATAACACTGGAAATAATTACTRTGACAGACAAAGTAAGAATTCAATGAACTACAGTTTAGTGTAGTACCTGCAAGGTGGGATCCGCTGATTTGTGTGGGGGTCACATTTTGGTACTAAGATTGTACAGGCAAAAAACATCAGGTATTTGTAGCAGTTGGTCTGAACCAACGCTGGGAAAAGGGAAGACTCCCAGCTGATAGAGGCTTCCTTCTGTGTCCTGTGGCCCAGGTAGTTTGGGTAATAGGTATAGTTGTAAGGCAAGTTCATACAAAGTTCCAGAGTAATTGGCTCACACTGACCTTTCACAGAAAGAAAACAAACAGAACCACAAATTATGAGTGAGATTAAATTAAATACAGAAGACACAATTACATATATATTTAATGAATTTATAAGTCAGGGGATATCCTCTCAGGCTTGAGAAACTACAGATTCCAGAGCCAGAGATCCCTTATGAGCCTGTTCATAACAGTGAAGGTGAGTTTGAATTCTGCCTACTGCATAACCCATTAAGAGRCTTTTATTTCCTTATTAATGTTCATTAACTTCCTGAGCAACATCTTAACTTTATGATGGTACAATAAATCATCCTTTAAAAACAGATTTCTTCTTTTCAATTCAAGATTCTGATGACTTTTAAGAACAACTGTACGATACACCAACAGAATTCCCACTCGTGTACTTACAATGCTACAATAACAAGCGTCACATTGACTGGGCAATTACCAAAATTAAGAAGACAGGAATCATTCAATACTTTGGGCTGGAAAGGGTCTCAGGAGGTCTCTACTCCAATGCCCTGAACAAAGCTTGATCAGCTCCAAGAATTGATCAGCTTTCTCAAGGCTTTATACAGTCACGTCTTAAAAAATCTCTAGTGACAGAGACTGCACAATTTCTCTGTAGAGAAAACAGAAGTCAGGATTTAAATTTCTTTTTTTTTTTTTTGCTTACCAAGATCTGAAGGAGGAACAGGGACAATTAGGTTATGTATCACACAAGAATTGAGCAAGAGACAGTCTATATGCTAATAATTTAATTCAGTTAAGAGATAGGTAATAATAAAAAAGAATGAGAAACAAAGACAAAACAGATGCAATAGCTATAAGTCCAAATGATTATAGATATTATAGCTACATACAAAAATCATCCAACTTTTTGAGGTTTTTCACAACAAATTTTGAATTAGCCAATTATTTTGGATTTTAAAAAATTTTATAGCTCTTTTATTTCTTTCCAAGTCAGTATTCATAAATATTTATTTTTCAGTTTTCCACCATAATAGAAAACTACAGACAGAATTTCACTTCAGACTGAAATTGAACTTTCTGTCTAGCAATGAGATGGCTGTGAAATGATTTAAACTTATTACTCTGGACATATGAGAAAGTTTTCCATGAAAAAGTGTACTATTCAAAAGAGAAAAAAAAGMAAAAAAGCATATATTTGGTTGTTCTAGGAGCTTAAGATATAAATATATATTTACATAATTAATATCATCTTCTAGCAAGTTGCTAGCATCAGTTGCTAGYATAGTGTGGCAACTGAACCATCCCATAGCTGTATCTTTGAGAAGTTGAAAGAAGATCCAACAGAACTGGGCACTTTTCCTTGGACTGGCATTCGCTGTTGCAACTTCTTCTACTATTTACCTTTAATGTGATTATCACAAATGTCRTTTTTTATCCACCTTTTCCTTGCTGCTAAATCTTGGCATACTACCAATATTGAACTATTTCTGACATATCAAACAACGTAGTCACGTTTTTGGGTATACAAGGTTCAATGATTTCAACAATTTCCTGACATTACTGCCATTTCATTTTCTTCATGATGAACCATCCCTTGTCCTTCCACACTTTTGCCTGAGATGCCCAGATCTGTTTGGGCTCATCTTGTGACTTTCACCAGTAACTTTTTTTTGATGTCTACAGAACATTACATATTCATCAGTATTTCATAATGAACACGAAATGATGAATATGAAAGTACATGCAATATTCTAAGTGTTTGTACAACATAACATTATTCAAGATTAAAGGGTTGAAATGCACATAGACCATTCTCTTTTATTATGCCTCATATTTATAGGAGTTTAAGTAAATTCTGGAAGAAAATCTAGTCCCTTGAAGTGCTGCTGGAGGATAGCTCTTCATGTGTTTTCAATATGATTTTAATTTTCTCATTTTGTCTAGAAATCTTCTATTACATTATGTGCAAAAGTGTTGTCGTAGGTTTGATAATAATARCTTTGACTCTCACATGCAACTCCCAACAATCCAGAGAGCAGCAAACAGAACATGTGCTCCAGGGGAACATCTGATTCATTTTAAGTAACCCAAATGTTAGTCTTTTCCTCTGAAGGAAAAGACTGTCCTACAGTTTCAGAGGTCCTGCTACTCCCTTATTTATAATACATGTGAGCACTACCTAATGATTGGGGAACAAGGAATAAAATTCATTGCATCTTTTATCCTAAATTAGAAAAAAAGCAAACCAAAACAAACAAACAAAAAAATCCAAGCCAATAAAAAACCACTACCACATAGACTATGACTGGCTTAATATCTTCCTGTGTTTATCATTGACTTGGTCTATCCATTGGAGTAAAACCACCCTGTACAATCTGTGTCACACTAGCAATAAAAAAATGCTCATGGTCAGAGTTTCATTACACTCCTATGTTTTATTTTGTGCCAACTGCTTCTAATCCTGTCATTGAGCCCTGTCTTCTTTACACTGTCCCTTCAGATATCCATTCTGTTATCCTAAAAATGTTGTAAATACTTTATAATGTCAGCCTAAACTGATCTGATATTACCACATATGGAGGACATCCATTTTATTCAATATTGGGAAATGTGGTCTACGCTTGGAATTTTTCAACCATATAGTTATCTGGGCCAAAAAATACTGTTTTGTGTAAAAATTAAATTTTCCATGAGAATTCTCATTTCTTACCAAAGATGAAATAACTCTGGTCAAAATATGAAGAATAAAAATGACATGAAAAAAATAAATATTCCAGAAGTACTTCCAGATGTTATGCAAGAAAAATCTCTCCCAAATTGTCTTGCTGCTCCATTGTGTATAAACAATTAAATATTCACTGGATCAGAAAAGAAAAAAGTGAGATGATCCAGAAGATGAGTTCAGATTACATGTTACTCCTGCTAAGAACTACAGTTGCCCATAATACATCAAGGAAACCTCCTCACTACGRAACTCTTGGGTTTCTCATGATATGGCATAGGAACATTGCTTTAGAATTCATGCATTACATGTCAAAAATCATAGAATCATAGAGTGGTTAGGGTTGTAAGGAGCCTTGAAGATCGTCTGTAAGGGAGATCTTATTGCTCCCAGCAATTAATGGGAAGGTGAAAATCACATGGAACCAGACTCTTTGAAGGSTGCAGGGATGAGATAAGAGGCAAAATACACGAGCTGTTACACAGTGAATCCCAATTATTTATATGGAAAATAGGTTTTTACGATGAAAATGCCCTTACACTGAAACAGATATCTCTGAAAGACTAYGGAATCTCTGCCTCTAAAGACAGAGCTGCTCAGCTGCACAAGGTCATGGGCAACTAACTTATTTGGCACTGGTTTGATCAGGAGTTTSGGTTTGTCAACCAAAGGTGTAACATGACCTCCTTCTAATGCTGAACATGATACATAAGACAATTCCTTTACAAAAACTTAGACAAAGCACTGATAGAAGCACATGCAAAGCATTTATAAAATACTTTATAGCTTTACTTTAGCAGCATCTAAAGGCCCCAGCATGAATGATGTCTGACTCAAACACTTGAAGGTGATAGTCACGACTCTAGAGAGAATATGGAATTTGGACTAGTTGACCTTCCCAGATCCATTACATTCTAAATAGAATAACATTGTCCGCACAATCTCCATACAGCATTAAACCATACCTTGCAGAGATAACTGCAGCAAAAAACAATTACAAATGAATTATGTAGAAACTGTCTGTAAGTGAAGCAAAGCCTGCCCATGTGTCAAGCTGACCTGAACTGATGTGACTATATTAATACAGCAGTAAGTTTTAATTAATTCTGAGTAGGTTTTAATACAGTTCTGCCCCCCTTTCAAAACACAGACAAATATATTTCTATTGATTACCTCTTCACATTGCTGCATTGCATAAGTAAGAAAAGCAGCTATTCAGAAGCAAGTGCACTGCACAGGAACCTTGCATGGATTGGTAACAGCATAGCACACAGATATGRGGATACACAGAATTGAAGACCCTGATCCTCTACAAGATGTATTGGTCAGGATAATTAGTTTTTCCAGTTCGAATGCCAAAAGTATTCATTCCTTCATAAAGGTCTTAAAGTTCTCCTGACTACTAAATACAATAACATGGAGGTTTTTATGTTTTGAAAATAAATCACTGTCTTCTGCTTTACACTTAGACTATGCAGTTTACATAGACACTGAATGTCATTAAATGCTAAGAAAAAGGGCACCAGTAAACACCCATGAAGAAAATATAGAAAGTTCACAAAGGAGAAGATTAAAATACCCCAATGTCAAATGTTATAAATCCTAGTACGTCACTAATCAAGAGTTTTGATAACACATTTGTTTCAACATTGCCCTTTTCAAAGCTTAATCATTAGCTAGAAAATTAAAATATTACTTACTGTGTCTTACCCTGCATCTTCGTTACAATCTAAAACAGCCTAAAACAGTGACAGTATGACTGACTTACTGCAGTTTGCCTGGTTGTTTCTCATCTCACAGAGAGAAGTTCCACAGGGATCAGGGCAGGAAGAGCACCTCTGGTCTCCCTCCTGACAGAAGGTTTGATCTAAGTGAAACAGAAATGTAGTTTTCAAATTATTTACCAGCCTAATAAAAATGACTGGRGTGTAATGAGAAAGTACAGTGTTTACACAAAAATTAAGTATTTCCTTTACATATTTCAGTAAGCACCCAACAGTATTTCAAGCACAGTAAGGATGTGAGGAAGAAAAGTGTGCGAGACTGTCCAGATCTCACTTTTCTTACCTCTACATTAAATACAAAAATTTATGTCCCAGTTTCTGAATGAGAGGTATGGACCTCTGAAAGACATTTACCATGAACCTCCAGAGTATGAAAAGTCATGTAAACACATTTCAAAAAGAACAATAGGTCCTAGCAGAAAGAGAACACTCTCTGGGRATTGTTCTTCAGGACTATTCAGTTGATCTGCTTCTCATTTTATGGTTGTTTTGGCTGACAATAAAAGACATCCTGATAAAAGTCGTCAGAGCTGAAGCTTTATTGTCCTCCTTTGACTGGGTGAAAAACAAACAACATCAGAAAGAAATCCAAACATGCTGTGCTCCCAATTATGGACTTCAGAATATATAAAACCTGCACTTCATCAAAGGTTTCTGAGCACACTACCCRGATAGTTACTTTAGCTGACAAATCCCTTGACTTCTCTCTTCCTCATAGTTGTGATCACTCCTCTCCAAACCATTAAATTCTCTCTTCCACTTGCAAAATCAGTCATTTAGTTTACTATTATGTACAGAGAGACTAAATAGATGGTGTTTATCATCCTACCCTGTTTAAAATAGCTGACTGCGCTGACTGCTTAGTGTTTGCTTGCACTACTGCCCATGAACATCGATCATTGATTTATTCCTCCACTGGGCATGCAGAAGGTGCTCAAGAACATCTTGTKGCAATGACCTTGACAACCATCTTGTCTAAAGGGTATGATTTAGCCATACCCACCAAAATTATGTGGATTTACTTCCATTCATACATGTTATTGAAGCAATAGCAGTAATTTCTTTGTTGTAGCAATTGCCTGTATCTGATTGCAGAATGGAACTTGAAAGGTAGGGAAAGCTTTTTGATTTCTAAAGCTATCCCAAATATTTACACTAACATTATTTTTAAAGTTTGCTTCAACTCCTTCCGATCCCACAGTGCAAGAGTTTATCAACTCTTTAAAAATCCCCGTGCTACAGTGTAGATTCTTTTGATCCTAGCATAAATAATGCTGAATTTCGACAAACACACTCTACCCTGCCTTTGGAGAGACYGCAGAGGCAGCTGTGAGTACATCTATATTAGATTTCCATTGTTATTAAATGAATGAGAGCAGTACTCATAGACAGATGCCACACCTTAAATTTCCTAAAGGTGTATAGTRAAGGTCACCACTTTTCTCATGCAGATAGAGATGAAGCAATGGTCATCTGTAATCTGAATTTATAAACTTGTACCAGGACACAAGGTGCCTGTATCTTCCATAGACAAGTGGAAGTCACTACACCTTGATCTCAAATTTCTATGCTGATTTCACATATTTAATGWAACAAAACCAATACTCCAACTGTACTAGCCCTAACTTAACTGACTCCAATAGACATAGCCAATTTTTTAAATTTGATTTGTAGAACAGAGAAGTCTTTGCAATAAGACCACATTTTTTGCAGTTCCTGGAAACAACAAAATATATAAGAAATACAATAGTAATTTACAAACAAGAATTCTGCCTTGCTTTTACATGGACTTTGCAATAAACTAAGATTAATGAAATCCAAATTCTGTAACATATTCCCATGCAAATTAGGATTGCTGGGATGTGGTTGCCTAAAGAAAGAATTTTGTTCTACACAATACTGCAAAACACAGGATAGAACTTTTGCATATTGAAAAATTAATAACACAAACAAGGAAAATGTTTGTATGAAAAAGCTCTGCAGCTTAATGCCAAGCAGAAAGATCCTCAACCTGTAGTGGATCATTGACTACATTATTATAACCTTGTATTTCTGCTTGAATATTTTTAACCATTGCTTCAACATCAAAGGGGAAAAAAAAACCCAGTGATAACAAAATACCTCACTGATTCTAGCCCACATCATGCAAGAGAAAGGCAGCATAAAAAAGTTCAGAGAATAAGACTGAGACTGGACATCAAGAAATAAGAATAAAAACCAAACATTTTGTGAAAGTGCACAGTCAGAACTGAGAACAGAATTTGCTTCTGGGTTTTTGGATTGTCACAGTCAGAGCTAGAAGATATTTCATGCAAGACCTTTTTATAATGTCAACATTAAGAATAAAGAAAAATAATTATTTCTGTGTTTCAGCTTCTCAGTTTTTTTTTGGAATAGAGGTATTTAAATTGGAGTAGGAAGATCCAGAGAACTTCCTATGAACAGAAAGGACTGAGTATCATGCTTATGAGAGGATTTCTTCTAAACTGGATTCCTAAAGAAATGAGGCTTATATAATCACATTGTATTTATCTAATGACAACAGGTCTTTTCTACTCTAATAACTTTTAAATAGCTYGTCTTATTACCACCACATCTGTCAGTACTAGCTTTCTATATAAGTTAACTATTTTAACTTCTTTAAAATAAGATTCATAAGAGAAAAACATTAATAATTCTTTCATTGCCAGAAAGGCTGCAATCTGAACCTATACCTTACAGAAATAAGAGAATTACATCTGAAAAATATCTTCAAATGCTGAAATCATAGTAACAYAACAACATTGCTTTCTGAGTGTCTTTGGGAAACTGTGTTCTGGGGTCAAGACATTGCATAATTCCCTCTTCTCTAAAACAGTCCATCATGAGACAGCTATCAAGTAGCTGCGAAAACTTACATTCTCATATATTTTCCCCTAGTCACACTAAATCATTCATTTACTTATGAAAACATCCTTTCTCTGATTCCCAAGTTCTGATAAAAAATGGATTTTACTGAGAAAATTCCTCCTCAAATGACACCAATTCCTGTAATAGTAGATTCTCATTGCTCCAAACAATGTCTTTCAARTAACAGCTGATCACATCAGATAACTAAATACTGTGCCAAATATCACCTCCACTTCTTCAACTTTTTGATGCTTTTAAGTACCAAAAGAAATCTGCTTACAATTGCCTGTGTGAAAACACATAACAACCAGCCTTAGCAAGCATTACTTCAAAGGTAAAGAGAGTGATCTGTCATATAGCTTTAGCTAAAGGCACTGCAGAACATAGCAGTCAATGGTAGGTTTAGTAAGAAGMGTAAAATGAGGCATATCCTTACTTTGACTGCAGTTTTCTTCATCACTKCCATCTTTACAGTCATTATCTCCATCACATTGGAATGCACTAGGAATGCACTGCCCATTTCTGCACTCCACCAGACCCTGACTGTGACATGCTAGAGACAAAAAGAAACTTTAAGACAATATTCGGATCAACTCATCTTAATGAAGGTCTACATTACATTTGAACATTGTCTTGAACAGCTGATAACACTGATTAGCACTGAACATCATGAGGCTATTTTTCACTATGTGTCAGCTAAATTTTCAATAGCTACAGCAGTGCTGATCTTTAACTACAGAGACTGAAACTATGCACTGAAACTAACATAGGCTGAGGAGAAGTTTTAGCTTCTCCAAGAAAAAAGCCGACATATCTTTTTCTCATATAGTGGGAACATTACATTTAACAAAAAGCTAATTCTGCAATTAAAAAGAAGCTGAAACACAAAGCAATGCTTTATGTCTCAAAAAACACAACAAATGTTWAATTTGCTGCAGCTGTTTACCAAGAACAGGCATATTTCAAGTGTGAATGTCTGAAATTAAATAAATTTATAGTTTTGCCTTACAAGTGAGCATACCAGTTATCTTTTTTTTTCTTTCTTTTTTTTTTTTTTTTTTTAGTTTTGTAGATTCTAAAGAAAGAAAAAGTAAGTTAGAGATAAGGGAACTTACAGCAATTGATCTCGTCTGATTTGTCTATACAGTCATGGTCACCGTCACATACCCAGTCAGCTGTTATACATCTCCCATCTCCACACTGATGATGTGTCATTGGATTACAATCTATATAGAATGCAAATTTGAAGGAAAAAAAAAGGATGCTAAGTTACCATTTGTATATTTTTTATTACTGATCAACTGTTCTATGCTTRTTAGCTAATCTTCTTATTAATGAGCCATAAATTACATTAAGAGATTTTCTGTATCTGCAGGTTTTTTTGCAGACAGTAGTTACCTATACTCTTTTTTGCATTGCCAGTACAGTGATGCACTATATCATATTCCTTCTCTCAGGTGCACAGCTGTGACCATTTGTAAATAAATAAAGGGGGGTTTTGTAAAAAAAAAGTTTCTAAGATGTTTTTAAGCACATTAGAAGACCCTCTGGCTTACTATCTCACAGGAYGATTTTCAGTTAACCAGTATTTTTGATTACAATCAAAGAAAAAAATTTACTACATTTATCTTTTTACTAAGACRTTTAAAAATGTTTCTCGACTTCAGAAACTGTATTTCTTGCATGTCTTTGAAACTTTTCTTAAGAATCATCTACAAAAACGTATTCCCATCTTCATCTTACTCTTTCTACCTGAATGTACAAATAAAGAAGAGCATTCTGCTGAACAGGCTGGCTTTACACCAAAATAACTAGAGAGAACAGACACAGTCCAGCCCTCCAAATCTGCTATGAAAATCAGTGAGAGCATGAACAAAACCTTAGATTTTAAAAATTGTRTAGAAAAAAGTCTATGTCAAGGTAGGAAAGAGACAGACTAATGTTTAGAAAATCAAAATCRCCTTTAAACAAAGATTATTAATGAAAAAAAATTAAATAACCAGAACTGAAAATAAAGTATTGAAATATCTTGGAATGTGCTTTATTTGGAGAAGAAATACAAAACAAATTTCAGACAAAAAAAGGAGCCCTAGTTTTCAGTTTTWAAATTCTTTATGCTTTTCCTTAGAAAAACAAAAGGAAAAAAAGTGAGAAATAATAATTAAACTGTTGAAGAATTATCTTRGAAAACTTCCATTTTCTTAGCCACAATAACAGGACCAAAAGTTAGTAAAAATAAGGGTTTCTAAGTTTTCCAATGTTAAAATTTAAATGTTAAAATGTTAAAATTTTTAATGGCAAAACTTCCTTGTTTCTCTTATGGAAGTCAAGTGTAGGTAGATACMTATCGTACATAGATAAATATCAAAGTCAGAACATGCAAAGTGCATTGACAGCAGAATTTGAAAGAAATAGAATTTGAGAATCAAAACATACAAGTTCACTATGATGCTTATGTAAAAACAGTTCAGCTATAAATCTGTTGCCACCACTAGCATGTAGCCTCTTACAGTTTTCTTTACTCTTAGCTAAATCCAGCCAAGTTAGCAAGGAAGCAACCATAACATCTTTTGGAATTAGTTTAAAGCAAATTGAAAATCAAAGCAAATTGAAAATCACAGTATTTCTTATAAACACCAAACCCTTCAAGATCTGGATTGACSCAGAACTCTCCTTTAAACCTTTTCAAATTACATAGAGAATCTGTGAGTTGTTTTAACTTTGCTCAAATAGAGTAAGAGCTGGGTATATTACTCTTTCAGTAGTTTAAGGAAAAAGATGACTGGCTTAGGCAATCCTGATGTCTTAAAGATTTTAGAAAAGCACATAACTTTCACATTTACCACAATTTTGTTCATCACTAAGGTCTCCACAGTCATCATATCCATCACAAACAAAGGTATAATTGAGGCATTTTCCCGTGTCACAACGAAATACATCATTACTGCAGTCTGCAAAACAAATTTTTGTAAAATGTTAAAGTTACTTTGGAACATTCACATAAACTATGAACACTGGAATGTAAAGACTACAAACTAGATTAGCTAAAGATACCCTAGAATTTACAGGTCTGCATTAATGCATTTCATGGGAATCTAATATGGAAGAACACGCAAAATCAAAAGTCATTTTTAGACATGTTCACACTGTTCCTAACAACTGTTTTTTTGATCAGTACCATGAGGAGAAAGTGCTCTGGTTACACATATGAACCAAAATGTTTAATCAATTTATACACATAAAATTCTCAAGAAAGGTTGTGG